GCTCATTTTTTATTTATTGTAGAGATGAGGTCTCGCCAAGTTGCCCAGGCGGGTCTCGAACCTGCGGGCTCGGGCAATCCCAAAGGCGCGGGATTACAGGCTGAGCCACCGAGCCCGGCGCTTTTTTCATTTAACATTATCACCTAAGAATTTTTCTGTGCTATTAAATGCTGGTAGTAATCACAGTGTTTCGTACTGATATAGTATTAGATTTACCTGGAAATTTTTTAATGAAAATTTTATTCATTGGTTTAACTTTTTTGATTCTTTTTTTTTTTGAGCTGTAATCTCACTGTTGTTGCCAAGGCTGGAGTGCAGTGGCACGCTCACGGCCACTGCGGCCTCGACCTGCTGAGCTCAGGCGATCCTTCCGCCTCAGCCTTCCAAGTAATTGGAATTACAGGCACATGCCACCACGCCCAACTAGTTTTTGTGATTTATCTTAGAGATGAGGTCTCACCAAGTTGCCTGGACTGGTCTCGAACCCCTGAACTCAGGCAATCCTCTCTCCTCGGCCTCCCAAAGTAGCTGGGATTATTGGCTGAGCCACCGCACCCAGCCAGCTTAGAGGATTCTTAGGGGAGACAGTGGATAACACATGGGAAGAACTAAGAATGGAGCATGTCTGGCCAGGCACGGCGGCTCAAGCCTGTAATCCTAGCACTTTGGGAGGCCAAGATGAGAGGATTGCCTGAGTTCGGGGATTCGAGACCAGCCTGGACAACTTGGTGAGACCTCGTCTCTACGATAAATGAGAAAAAATTAGCCAGGTGTGGTGGCATGTGCCTGTAGTTTCAGCTACTCAGAAGGCTGAGGCGGAAGGATCGCCTGAGCCCAGCAGGTTGAGGCTGTGGTGGCCAGGAGCATGATTATGTACTCTAGCCTGGGCGACTGTGAGAATCTGTCTCAGAAAACAACAAAAGAAAAGAATGGAACATGTCACATAGTAAATGTCTAATAAATGCCGACTCGGATGTGAAAGTGGTAAGGATCAGCACAATTCCAGTGATGTCCAATTTCTGCTCAATTATTCATACATTTGTGGAGTAAAAATAAATCAGAAAATTTCTATACAAGTTTCAGATAAGGAGAAGAGGATACAGAGAGGTGTCCTTTGGCTATGAGAAAAGGATCAATGACTCTTACCACACTGGTGTCTTCAGAGGGTCCAGTTTCGATGATTAAAACCGTAATAATAATAATAATAATAATAATAGCAATTATCATTCTTTGCGCATTTTACACATTTTCAACATTATGCTTAGTGCTATATAGGTATTATTTCATTTAATCTTCAGTAGGAAACGTTGAGGCAATTTTTGTTAGTGCACAGATGAGGGAACTGAGGATCAAAAAGTTTTTCGAGTTGTCCAAACTCACATAGTAACTAGAAGAACGGGCATTCAAACCCAAGTCATTTGTATCTTACAGATCTCACCTTTTCTTAGATAGACAAATATACTTATTTAACTCTGTTGTCTTTTTTTGAGTCGGAGTCTCACTCTGTCACCCAGGCTGGAGTGCAGTGGCACGCTCCCGGCCACCGCAGCCTCAACCTCCTGGGCTCAGGCAATTCTCCCGCCTCAGCCTTCCAAGTAGCTGGAACAACAGGCGTGTGCTATCATGCCCATCTAATTTTTGGTTTATTGTAAGACGAGTTCTCGGCCACGTTGCCCGGGCTGGTCTCAAACCCGCGGGTTCAGGCAGTCCACTTGCCTCGGCTCCCAAAGTGCTGGGATGACAGGCTTGAGCCACCGCACCCGGCCTTTAACTCTTTTTAAAACATTTTATTTATTTACTTATTTGAGTTGGAGTCTCACTCTTTGTTGCCAGTCTGGAGGGCAGTGGCATGCTCCTGGCCCCTGCAGCCTCGACCTGCTGGGCTCAGATGATCTTTCTGCCTCTGTCTTCCAAGAAGCTGGAACCACAGGCATGTGCCACACCTAGCTAATTTTGTGATTTATTTAATTTAATTAATTTTTTTTTTTTTTGAGTAGGAGTCTCACTCTGTCACCCAGTCTGGAGTGCAATAGCACGCTCCCGGCCACCACAGCCTCGACCTGCTGGACTTAGGCGATCTTTCCGCCTCAGCCTTCTAAGTAGCCAGAACTACAGTCACATGTCACCACACCTGGCTAGTTTTTGTGATTTATTGTAGAATCGAGTTCTCACCAAGTTGCCCAGGCTGGTCTTGACACCTGTGGGCTCCAGCAATCCTCTCACTTTGACCTTCCAAAGTGCTGGGATTACAGGCTGAGCCACCGCACCTGGCCTCTTTTTTTTTTTTTTTTCAACCAGAGTCTTACTCTGTCGCCTTAGCTGGAGTACAGTGGCTTGCTCCCGGCCACCACAGCCTCAATCTGCTGGGCTCAGGCGATCCTTCCATTTCAGCTTTTCAAGTAGCTGGTACTATATGTGCCACCACGCCCAGCTAATTTTTTTCCTTTGGATTTATTGTAGAGATGAGGTCTCGCCATGTTGCCGAGGCTCAAACCCGTGGGTTCAGGCAGTCATCTCACCTCTGCCTCCCAAAGTGCTGGAATTATAGGTGTGAACCACCGCACCTGGCTATTTAATTCTTTATTTTGGAAAAATTTCAAACCTACAAGAAAATGTACTGGGGTGGTACAGTAAATTCCTATATACCCTTCATTGGAATTCACCAGTTTTTGCTAATTTGCTCCATATTTGCTATATCTCTCTTTTTTCTAATACATATTATTTGCTTTTGGTGAAACATTTGTGAGTATGCTATAGATATGATTATTTGGGCATAAATCTGTTATAAAGAAAAACATTCTCTTATAGGACCAGAGGTTTAGTTAACAAATTAAACAAATTTAATATGGCTATATTCTTATCTAATCTATAGACCCTATTCATATTTACCAATGCTCCCAATTCTGGGTTGTTTTTTTTTTTTTTTTTTGAGTCAGAGTCTCTCTGTCTGTCAATGGCATGATCAATGGCCCTCTGCAGCCTCGACCTCCTGACTTCTGGTGCTCCTTTGGCTTCAGCTTCCCTAGTAGCTGGGATTGCAGGCAGGCACTCACACCTTGCTAATTTTTAATTTTTTTTGGTGGAGACAGGGTCTCGCTATGTTGCCTCGGCTGGCCAATTCTATCTTTTTTTTTTTTGAGTTGGAATCTCACTGTGTCGCCCAGACTGGAGTGCAGTGGCCGC